AATGCCAGTGACCCCATACCACAGAAATATTTTGTGTGTCTGGAGTTCAAAGCTACACATCAATTTGCTAAAAGAAAATGATTCATAATTACTTTTGTTCAATTTGGTAATTCAATTTTGGGGGAAAATTTAAGTTTTCCATCACATTTTACAGATAGAGAAACTAAGGTACAGAAATTTTAAGAACTGATTTACTTGGAGTCACAATGACTAAAATAATTCCTTTTTTCCATTATGCTGCCTACTCTAATTAGAAAGATTTGCTGTCTAATTCAGCACTGTCCAATAGGAGTACACTGTAAGCCACAAAAGTAATTTAAAAGTTTCTAATAGTACATTTTAAAAAGGTTTTGAAAAAGGTAAAATTAATCTAATAATTTATTTTATGTAACCCATTATGTCCAAAGAATTATCATTTAAACATGCAATCAATAGAGAAATCATTAATGGGATATTTTAACATTCTTTTTTCAATGCTAAGTCTTAGAAATCTGGTATTTTACACTTACATAAAAGTTCAACTCAAGCCTAAAAAATAATAACAATAAGTGGCAAGAAAATATTATTTCCTTGGAATCTCTGACTCTTTTACTTTACATGCTCAGTAGTGACAAGTAGCCTTACTGGTTAGTGCAGATATAACTGCTCCTACTTACTGTCCACAGAGGCAGGATAGTATTAGGAATCTGCTAAGCAGACTGGCTCCACCACTGTTAACTGGGTGACAATGGGCACTGATTTTCTATGCCCCAGGTTTCTTACATGTAAAATATTTACTAGGGTTATTGTAAGAATGAAATGAGTTAGTATGTAGTGCCTGACAACTGGGGGGCATTAAATGTTAGCTCCTGTTGTTGCTGTCATCAGAGAACACATGGGAACTCACTCTTATTTGTGCCCTCCCCCCACAAAATTTGTAAGACACCGAACACATTGGGTCTGTAACAGGATTTGTTGTGCGTTCAATTGTCCCCCTGAAGTATATGCTGAAGTCCTTACCCCCAGACCTCAGAATGAGGCTTTATATGAAAATATAGTAGTTGGAGACACAATTAGTTAAGGTGAGGTTATACTGTTGGCCCTTACTCCAATATGACTGGTTTCTAAGAAGAGGAAAATGTGGCTATAGAGACAGAGACATGCAAGGAGATCATCATGTGACAACAGAGACAGAGACTGGAGTGATGCAGCTGTAAGACAAGGAAGGTCAAGGGTTGCCTGTCACCACCAGAAGCTAGGAAGACACAAGGTAGGATTCTACCCAGAGTCTCAGAGAGAATAGGGTCCTGCTGACACCTCAATTTCAGAAATCTAGCTTTCAGAAGGATAAGAGAATAAATTTCTATTATTTTTAAGCCACCCAGTTTATGGTGCTTTGTTAAAGCAGTCCCAGGAAACGAATATAGGGTTCTTATCCAAAAGGAAGCACTCTGTCTTACAAACAGCCAAGGTTGGATGACTGACAACTTGGCAAATGCAAAGTCTCCCAGAATTAATGGAGGCTTTCATAAAGTCTGGACAGTCCCATTTTCCAAAGGGCTCTTAGGTTGGTCCCTCACTCCATGTATGTACATTGGAAGGAGAATTCTGCCCTTGGAGATGGTATCTTAGTGGGACAGCTGCCTGTAAAATGAATGAGCTAAGTCACAAACCCAGAGAAACAATTCCATTGGTTCCTTGGGAATTACACTGGTGTGATCAAGTCACAAAGTCTACCATTCATTTGTTTTTAATGGATGTGGTCATTTTTTGGCCACATTTTTTTCCCAAACAACCTATTTTGATCAAAGCATACTAATTTTAATTGGGTTCTTTAAGAAGGTTATTTCTGTATATTCTTAAAAACTGGGGCACTAAAGATGGCACATACAAAGAAGCTTAAAAAAATAATCTAAAGTGATACAGAATTTTGTATTTTTAATACTCCTGGTACCGTTAACTGTTCTATATACTGTTTTGTACAGTTCTTTGTTCTCCTAAATTATTGACAGCTCTGTTCCTTTCCTCCCCACACGTATATATTAAAAAAAAAAAGTTCTAAGTCACATGCAGATTTTGTGACAAAATTAGCAAAGAAATAATTTCTTTAAAAGAAATATTTGTTTTCCCAAATCAAGAGTGCTCGGCTCATTGAAAACAGAAAATACTCAATACATATTTATTGTATTGATTTTCATCTGATAATTCTAAAATACTGTGATTTCAATGTTATGTTTTATTAATTCTTCAGATTTGCAAGGGAAACATGTTTCTACTACAGTATCATTTAAGAATATTAAATGACCTCTTTAAATCTCTGTTAATATTTATAAGAATATAAACTGCTTCAAGTAGAACTTTAGACCTAGAAAGCACTTTGGAGACCTTTTGATCTAAACTTTTCATTTTATGGATGAGAAAACCAGAATAAGAGAACATTAAAGACGTGACCAATGTCATAAAGTTATTACACAAAAGTCCAAACTGTAACTACTGTCACCCAAGGCTCCAGAAACCCAGTTTAGGGGCCCTTATTCCACAACACCAAGAAATAAATATAATCATCCTGGCTGGCAGAGGAGATGCACAGGTAGCAATCAATCAGTGAATTTAAGCAGAGTTTAGACAAATGGTCCCTATCGTTAAAAGAAATAATGCATGCATAGCTCTTAGCATGATGTGGGGCATGTTGTTAAACAGAACCACTCTTGCTGTGTAATTCAGAGATGCACTGTGAAAAGTAGAACCCTGTGAACTTCCAAATCGGATGGACCTGAGTTCTACTGGCAGTGTCCACTCACTGGTTTATGTAACCTGGGAAAACCACTTAATCTTTCTCTACATCTGTTTTCTCACATGCAAGACAGGAATAATAATGAGGTAAGGAATACCAAATATCAGATTAGTACAAGCACTAGTTGATATCAACAATGAAGTTACAGTGTTATGTGGTATCTTAAATCAAGAATATAAAAATTAAGAGAGCTGACTCCTGTCGTTAACACTAACCCACCCAAAACTGAAGGGAACAGGCCAGGCTGACACCAGCTGTATCTTTATCACCCCTCTACCTCACTCCTTCGCCACCTCACCGTTCCTTTGGCATTGACACTTCAGCCTACGTGCCCTGACACTGCTGCCTGAGTGTTGGGCATCCTGCTTGTGTTTCTCTTTCTCTATAGGCTCCATATTTTTAAAACTCTGCTTTCCTTCATGTCATTCTCAGGCACCTGACCTTGACCTAAGATAATGACTACTTGGTGGATGAATTTATCTAACTATGGTAGCTTTCCCAAGTTACTAGTCTCTGCGATGCTCCATGAAGGAAGGTCAGGTGAGTCTGGGAAATGCTGTACACGAAATCTCACTGCAGCAGAGGCCACCTTTAGATAAGGCCTACCAGTATCTCCTCAACACCCCTGGCTCCCTTTCACTCTGAGGGCTTTCCACTGTAAGCACCTATGACTCGGCCTGAGGACACTCTCTGACTGGGAGCATGCTGTGCCAGCCTCTGCGCAGAGCCAGGGTATTATGCTGCCAGGAGGAGCCCTCAACCCATGGCTGATGAGAGCTGACAGAGATCTACTCCAGCTTCCTTGTCCTCAGCCGCCACAGCTCTGAGGTGGTTCTGCAGTTTCCCAGAGGTCATCGGTGGGAGAGAGCCCCAGATGCCCACACCAACAACTTGCTCATTAATGAATCCTAAATTGGCTTCCTTCCCCTCCCTGGCACACTTCCCTGACATCTTACCAGTACTCCCTGGGATCATCACTGACATAAACTATTTGTCTTAGGATCTGTTTCTTCTCTCTTGGGGATTCAGGACACATGCTAGCAATGTTAAAGGCTATGCGAAGTGTTTTAGGAAAGATTCATTTGACTTTTATATCGTTAGAAACTTCATTTAATAAGTTTCCCAAACTTATTTGGCCATGGGAAACTTTTAAAGGGTAAGAGCTTTGACCATCTTATGAAACTAGTGTTCCTCTAGTACACTTGGGGAAATGCTAAACTAAGCATTGATGGCTGACAAATTAAAGTATTACCCATCTCAGAGATATCAGTATCTTAATGGTTTCTTCTGCACACCAGTACCTTCTGACTACAAGAACTAGGTCTGTTAAGGTGAGAATTTCAGTCTCTATGATAGGTATGATGGAAAATAATTTTGGAGGGATGTGTCTTGCCATATCCTTCAAATCAAATCAGGTCTCCTCTGCTATCAAGAGCTAACAGGAAATGATAGACGAGTTTCATGGTTAAAAAGTTCAGTATGTGATTTGGAGGACGGTGCAGGAGCTGTACGGGATGAAGGTGGTTATTTCCTGAAATTACTTTGAAGAGAAGTATCTTTAGGAAGAAGAGATCACATTTCAGTGGTCTCAGCCAAAAACAGCAGATGCCTGGGACTGTAATATCCCTTAAGGTGTTTGAGGAATAATGGTCAATACTGATCAGAATTTTAAATACTTAAGTCTTGAACTACTCTGTGAAATCCATAAAAGAGTAAAAACCTGGGTTCCATGATAGAGAAATACAGACTGGGAATATTTTAGGAAACATTTTTGCTCTACCTTTAACACAACCACTGGCAATAGCCATGTAAGGTCCAAACTAGAACTCACTGGGAGGAAGCAGTAAGGAGTCCTGTAAATGCATAGTACTTGGGAGGTAAGTGAGTGGGCAAAAGGTCAGTGTGTGTGAGAGGGTGCTTAATTCGACTTGGGAAAGTTCATCTCCAGGGCTTGACTTGTGCCACTCACAACAATTCTCTTTCTAACTCTGCCATTTATACTCCTCTCCCTTGTCATCTCTGTCACACTATCCCTTCTCATGTCCATTTTCAGATACTGAGATACTAAATATTTTTAAATGAATTGCCATGAATCAATGTTAAAAGATTCTACTTTTTTTGTTAACATTGCTTTTTGAAAGTATTTGTCACTTGTAAAATACTAATGAAAGAGACACAAATCCATTAAGAGAAATTTCAAATAATCCTAATTCTTCTGGAGGTCCATTCTCTGAATTAAAAGCATCAAGAATAGAAAACAACCAAGGAATGAGAAAATGTGAAGAAGGAGTACCGAGAATCAAACACGGCCAAGAGACCGGAGATATCTGACATTTCCATCTTCATCAAGGGGGACTCTGTCAAACAGCAACTCAAACTCTTCATCAGTAATCTCCACACCAAACCTGAAGCGAATAGCAGTTAGCATCAGTCAGCCCCAAGTTCACATTTGGGTCACCCATACCCACAATACCCTAAGCATATGGCTGCCATTAATGCTTTGTTACTGCTGCAGTCCTCCAGATCAAGAGCACCACGTGAATATCAGAGGTTAATCAGGGTTTTGATCGTTTCAGCTTTCTCAAAGAAAGAGATTCTACCCCAGAATCCCTGCATTGGTGGTGCACAGAAATAGAAATACCGGCATGTTGAATTGTGTGTGATTGTCTTCTATAAAAAGTTATTCATTACACTAAAACACTGGTATTGCTTAAACAAGTTAACTCTGAAAGGCCTTTCAACTGGACTGCTTAGCATGAGAGAAAAGGTAGAGAAAAAAAGTGCCTTTCGAAAAACAGCTTCCTAATGCTTTTGCAAAGCATTTCATAATGGCTCTAAAGATATTTTGCATACAAATATTTAAAAAGTGGCAGTGTTTATTCATCAGCAAGAAAGTGTTTTCATCTCTCAAGAACAATCAAAACATAATCCTTGAATTACTGGCATAAATAAGAATGACTTGAGCAATAATAATGAACAAGGCATTCATTCATCATTTTGCAAAGCTGGTAAGACCCAGCTGACTTTTGGAAAAGAGGGGAATATATTTTCCTTCAGTGAAGACATGAAAAACTGTTTTTTCCATTTTCATTATTAATTTCTTGATAATTATAAAACAAACACATATGTCATTAAGAATAATGCAACAAGCAAAAATGGCTTTCTCATAAGCTGCAAAGAATAAAGTTATCACATATTTGTATTTGAAGTACTTGAATTTGAATAGCGTCTCAGGGACTTTGCATTTGGGTTCCTTTTTGTCACTTGCATAAAGTTAGGGAAAAAAGGATAGAATCAACTATTTCATGAGACACATAACACTTTTATCTTATCCTTTGTTACACTTTATTCTTTTTCATTTCTTAACAATGAAGTTACCAGTACTAATGAATAAGTCTTTGGCACTTTGCCTGAGAAATTAAAATTAATTCTCAGGTTTTATTTGGACTTAAACTCATAAATTCTTAAAAAAGAAAATAAGCAGGTTTTTTCACAGACATACTGGAAAAAATACCAGACTAAAAGTTAAGAGAACTGAATCTAGTCTATATCCATCATTATACAGTTGTAATCATGGCAAAATCACTTAACTTCCATATTTCAGTTTTCTGAACACTCCAATAGTCTGTAAAGTCTCTTTATCTTAATTAGTAGTAGTCACAGGATAACGAGATAATGAAAATAAAAGTGCCTTGGAAAAACAGAAAGTATCATAGAAATATTATGTATTGTGTATTACTATTACTGATACAGAGTACAGGTTTTAAAAAGAATCTTCAAAAAATATTAGATGCGATTGCTTAAACCTAACAGGGACATAAGCGGCCCTTTTCCTCAAGAGGCCGTCTCTCTGGGTGGTGGTATGCTGTAGTAGAGAAAAGCACGGCTTCAGATTAACTATGCCAACAGCTGAATCTGAGCTCTGCCACTTAGTAGCTGTTTGTGGCCTTAGGTGATTTACTTAATTCCCTGAGCCTCAGCTTCTGTATCTATAAAAAGAAAGATTACTTTTAAAATTGAACAAGTGGATATGCATACATGTAATATGCACATGCTCTCTTGAATGGGAAATGTATTTTCTTAATAGTTAAACTACTTTCATTCTATTGGTGGATAAAATGAGGCTCTCCCTAACTCTTCACTTCAATCCCACCTGTGTCCTAGTCACTGTCATACCACACTACTTTTATTATTACTTTCTTTGTTACGGTCTGAAATTATCTTACCGGTTTACTGACTTCTTGGTTATTGACTGCCTTTTGTTCCCACCTCTTACGTAAGCTACATGAAGGGAGGCATCTTGTTTATCTCGTTCACCACAGTATCCCTAGAACCTGTACCAATGTCTGGAAGGTGCATAACAAATATTTAATAAGTGAACAAATGAATAACTCATGTCTTCTACAAGGGTATGTGTGCTTATAAAAAGAACTTTTAAAAGCTACCATTCTATTACCCATTCTAACAGAAGATATCTGGATGCCCCATAACACTGAAAAATTAAAGTTAGATATTTTTGATTTGGAATACATTTTACACTTCTAATTAAATATGGGTATCTTATATTCACAAATTTAACCTGACTTCTATTAAAATAATAAAACCACATTTATTCATTCTTCTAGTTGTTCAACAAATATTTTAGGACCATCTACTGTGTTAGACATTATATTAAATGCTTGAAATACAGAGATAAGACATCTTACTCTATAGCAAGGAAAACAGACAATAAACAAGAAACTGCAATAAAATGTGATGAATGTTATGATAGAAGAAATACAAGATATTAAGGGAACTTTTAACAACATGCCCTAATTTAGACTAAGGTGAGGAAAGGCTCCCTAAGGAAGGGATGAGCTGAGCGTTAGCTAGGTAAAGCAGAGAACCAGAGAGAAAGAGCATTTCAGGTAGAGAACAGGTACATTCTGGAAATAAAAGGATCTCAATTTTACTAAAGCCTAGAGTTCAAGTGAGAGAAGGGAGAGAGACCAGGCTTGACAGAAAGATGAATGCCAGGCTGGACAGGCACTATAAACAGGCACTTTTAAGAAATAAGGGCTTTATCTGAAAGGCACAGGAAGCCATTGTGATGGGTTGTTTGATGTGTCAACCTGACAGTCCCAAGCTATTTATCAAACATTAATCTAGGTGTTGCTAGATTTGGTTGTGAATGTATTCTGCAAACATGATTAAAGTTCATAATCAGTTGACTTTAAGTAAGGGAGATTACCACAGACAATCTGAGTGGGCTTGATTCAATCAGTCAAAAGGCCTTAAAAGCAGAACCAAATCTTCTCTGAAGAAGAAATTCTGCCGGTGGACAGCAGCTTCAGCCCATGCCTGAAAATTCCACCCTGCCCTACCCGACAGCCTGCCCTGTGGAGTCTGAACTTGGCCAGCCAGCTTCAACCAGTGTAAACCAATTCCTTACAATAAATCTCTTAATATGTATCTCCTGTGGGCTCGGCTTCTCTGGTCGAACCCTGACTAATTATACCATTAAAGGATTTAAAGCATGTAGTGACCATCAGATTTGTGTTTTTAAAGGCACTTTATCTGAATTTAGAGGGATCTGAGAGGGAACAATACTTAAAGTCAAATAGACACTTCGGAAGGAGGCTGTTGAAACAGTCCAGGTTAGAGAAAATGGTGGCTTAATCAAGACAGTAAAAGTACAGATAGGAGAAGCAACAGATTAAGGATATTTCAGAAGTAAAAGATACAACACTTGATTTTTGGTTTGATGTAGGAAGTAAGGGAGAAGTAGTCAAGGATAATTCCTGGGTTTCTGGCTAGGGTAACTGGGTAGCTAGGGGTGTCATTAACTGAGATAAACGAACACTAGAAGAGGGACAGGTTGTGATGGTGTAAGTGAAGATCATGAATTCATTTTCAGACATGTTAAGTTTGGACTATGATACATTCAAGAGGTAGTGCCCAATAAGTAGTTAAGAGATATGGGTCTGAAGCTCAAGACAGCCCTTGGCTGTGGATATAAATTTGGGAGTCACTTTTATATAATTTATATGACATGTATATAAATCCTGAGGCTACAGGATTAGATGAGATTGTAAAGAAAAATACATAAAGTGAGTTGAGAAGAGGACTTAGGACAGAGATCCTATTTAAGGAATGAACAGAGGAAGAGGTGCTGGCAAGAAAATTTAAGAAGTAGTAGAACAAATGACAGAAAGGAAGCCAAGAGACATGGTAATGGAAGCCAAGAACTCAGTGGGCTTCGAGAAGGAGGCAGTGGTCAGCCATTTCAAAAGCAGTCAAAAGGTTAAGCAAACTATGAATTTTTACTGAATTTGGACATATGGAGCTGATGACCCTGGGGAGAGTAGTTCTAGTAGAGTGATGGGGTCCAAAACCATATTGTAATGGACTGAGGAGTCAGGGGAACTTGAGGGAAGACACTGGGAATGCAGATCTCTCTCAGGAAGCTTAGATAAGAAGGGGAAAAGAAAGAGAAGACAAACAGGAAGGAGAGGTAAGTCAAGGGAGCCTTTTTTTTTTTTTAAGATGAGTAGTATGAGCACAGTTAAACTGTTAAATGCTGACAGGGGCAATATGAAGGTAGAGGTTAAAAACAGAAAAAAGATAAGGAATTACTGATAGATCCTGTGAAAGAAAGATCAAGAGTACAGGTAGAAAGGACAAAAAAATACCCTTCACAAAAATGGAGAAATGAGGAAACAATGGGTTTACAGGCTTTTAAATATCAGGGGCTTCCCTTTTTCTCCCCTTTTTACTGTGAAGTAAGATGCAAGTTTATTTACTATGAGTGAGGCAGGCAAAGAAGGTGAGGGTATGTGTTTTGAAGAAACTGAAAAAGGTCTGAACTAAGTGTAGTGGAGAATGGGATACAGAATCTGACTAAGAGAACATAGCAGAAAGTGACAGAATATGTTGACAGCCCAGGTGAGGTTGGTGACATTGAATTTATAGTGGTATAAATCTACTCAGTACTGTGATTTTCCCAAGCAACCCAGATGCAGGTGAAGATAAGGTGGACAGTTGGGCTCATCAAGGTCTGGGAATCTGCCAGATGGGTATGAATGAAAGACAGCAAAGCAAGAGGATTTATAATATTGACAAAAAAATGAGTAACATGTGGAACAATAAATCTAATCTGTGTTCGAGCTTAGAGCAGGAAGTGCGAACAGGTGCATAATGATGGACTCGGGAAAAAGCAGAGGGGTCAAAGAATGGGAACAGATAGAAGATACTAGTCAGGAATAGGCTGAAAGTATGATTTCATAGTTGTAGTTATTTTGGATAATGACATACTCTGTTGGGACAGACACATAGATATGAGTAAAAACTAATATCTACTTAGAATTTAGTATGTTCTTAGCACTGTGCTAAGCATTTTACATGCATTTTTCCCATATAATCCCCA